CCAGCGACGCGAGCAGGTATGGAGTGCTCGCAAAGTGATGCGCGACGCGAAACCCCCTCGGGGTTCATCACTGCCCGAGAACATGAGGAATGTATATCTCCAAGAGAACCTGACGCGACGCAATCAGGAGATCATGTTCGCGGCCCGAGAGCTGCGCCGAAAGAAGAAGCTGTGGGCCGTCTGGACTGACAGCTGCATCATGAAGGTGCGGGTCCGAGAAGGCAGCCCAACCATCAGGATAACCAGCATGGACGACCTCCTCAAGGCGGCTGGAGTCGACGACGGCAGCCAGAAGTAAGTAACCGGTGACAAAGTAGGTACCTCAGCTGCCGGAGGTATCCGGCCCACTCGCGCAGACTAAGGACTCTTCCCGAGGTCGTGAGTGGAGCGTCGTGAACAGTCGTGAGCGATTGATTTTGAGTCGTGCTCGTGTTCCCTGAGTCGTGACCTGTCAATCACAATCAGTGCTGCGGTGTTTGGGAGGTTCCTTTAAGAAGAAGAAAGTTTTCCTTTGCGATCTGGCAGCATTTGGCTGCGCGGTTTAACAGACAAACGTGGCGCAGCGGCGAAGATGATGCTGCGAAGGTGAAAGTGTTGTGAAAATGAAAGTGTCTATTTTTAGAAGCGTGGTAATGAGTTCCTTATTGTCTGCATACTATAGTTTTTGTGCACAGAACGTGGAAGCTATGTAAGTAACCTGAGTAACAAGGTTTTCATGCGCCTGCAGCATTTACGGTGAAATGCTGGTGTCTGTATGGGCTGCAGGGATGCAATTAGGTAGGTAGGTATTCAGTGATCGTTCTTGTTCTTATAAGCATCACACGATGTATTGATGATCAGCAAATAAGCAATGCATAAGTTAAGTTTTCTGAAGCTGGTCCACTTGATCAAGGTTTGTGTTGGTTTTCATGCTGACGCACTTCATGCTGCTTCTCGCGTGTAGGCCAGGTCCTTTGTAGACTGGGTCCGCTTCATGCTGCTTTTTGATCATAGGCTAGGTTCTAACCAATAACTTCTGCCCGTGAGGGGTAGTGCTCGCTTGAACTGAGTCAACCTACAGGTTTGATTAAGGGGAAGCTTCTGTGGCAGAGTATGACGAATTGGTGAACTGCATGTAGATTGTAGGTACTGACCGCCCTCACTGCACCGCCCGGCCCGCTTGCTTGTGGCTGTGTCTGTCAGTCGCCAGTCACCTAGGCTAGGTACAGTAAATTCTTCCATGGGGAATATCAGAATAGCAGGTGATGAAAATTCTGGTCCCTGCCCCGGCTCCCTGCTGTCGCCGCTGACATGTCCTCCCTCACTCCTCAACTTCTCCCATGTTAATGTTAATTCTATCACTTCTGACTGCCGACTAGACGAGCTCTCTCAACATACATTGACTCATAACATTGATGTGCTATGTGCCACCGAAACTAAGTTAGATGCCAATGTTCACCCTTCCCTTTATGCCCTTGACCATTTTCACTCACCTTTTGTTAAACACCGTAACAGGCGCGGAGGTGGAGTGGCTATTTACGTTAAGGACAGCATTCCTACTAAAAGACTATCCGATCTTGAGGTTGGTGATTTTGAACTAATCTGGTGTAAACTCAGCATCAAAAATCACACCATACTTGTGTGTTGTGCATATGTGCCACCTCATATCTTAGCTGACCAGTTTTTAGATTTCTTGGACGCATTCAATGAGGGGTTTGCTCAGGCAAAATCTCTCCCACACTCCCAGATTATAATCATGGGAGATTTTAATCTTGGAAACACTTACCTTTTACCAATGTACTCAAATCACAGTCCCGTAACAGGATTTGAAAAACGTTTTGAAGAGGAATTGATGTCTCTCCAGTTGACTCAGCTGATTACAGAGCCAACACGTGTAGACCAAGGAACTGGAGTGGCAAACTTAAGGGACTTGGCCATTGTTTCTGATCCCACCCTCATAACCAGTAGTGGCACTCTGCCTCCCTTTTCAAGCATAGACCATTTCCCTATATTCATTTCCCTGAATTTTACCCAGCCTACTGACTACAACTTTGACAGGGAGTTTTGGGACTACAGCCGACTTGACTCTGACAAACTCTGCTCAATGCTTTTAGAAACAGACTGGAATAGTGTTCTTGATGGAGATGTAGACCAAGCAACAGCAAATTTTACAGATGTCCTCCTTTCAGCTGCCAGAGCTTCCATACTATGCAAAAAAGTAAAAGTCAAAAGCCAGGATAAGCCGTGGATAACATCAGGGTTGAAAAGAGAGACACGCAAGAGGGATAGGCTTTTTAGGACAGCACAGGCCACTCAATCAGACAATGACTGGTTGAAGTGGCGTATTCAGAGAAATCACACAACAGCCTTAAACAGACGACTAAAATCTGAACACATGCAGAAGGAAGTCCACAAACCTCTTCTTAACAAAAAAGACCCCCATAAATATCACCAAATTTTGAAAAATATGACTGGGACCAGCAAACAACTAACCATTCCACCCCTTATGGGAACAGAGGGAACACTAACAACAAATGATTTGGAAAAGGCAAACACACTTAATTTTTATTTTGCACAACAAACTCATCTTGACACATCAAACCTAACTACCCCACAGATCTCACCCAACCTCACTGGTATCCCAATCCTCAATCATATTCAGGTGTCAGCTCCAGATGTTTTAAGAGCTTTAAATTCCTTGGATGCAAACAAATCTACAGGGCCTGATAAAATTCCAAGTAAACTTTTAAAGCTCTGTGCTGTACTTATTTATGAACCTCTGACGAAACTTTTTAATAAATCCCTCAGCTCAGGGTACTTCCCTACAATCTGGAAACAGGCCAACGTTTCTGCCATTTTCAAAAATAAAGGTTCAAACTCAGAACCCACCAACTATCGCCCAATTAGTCTTTTATCATGCACTTCCAAAATTCTTGAAAAACTAGTTTTTAAGGAGATATACAAACATCTATCGGAAAATGACATCCTTTCCGATAAGCAAAGTGGCTACCGGCCAGGCCATAGTACCCAAATGCAGTTGATTTATCTCTCACACAAATTATTTTTATCACTGGACAACAACGAAGATTTTACTGCCGTGTACCTTGACATTTCAAAATATTTTGACAGAATCTGGCATGAGGGTCTTTTATATAAGTGCAGAGCGCAGTGTGGCATTTCTGGAGCCATTTTGGAGTGGTTAAAATCTTATCTTACTGATCGAACACAAAGAGTGCGAATAGGAAACACATTCTCTGACTGGCAGAAGATTAAGGCTGGCTGCCCCCAGGGGTCGGTCCTCGGACCCCTTTTAGCCCTTATTTACCTTAATGATCTATCTAACTTAACTGAAAACCAAATTTTATTCTTTGCTGACGACACCTCTCTTTATTCCTCTCACCCGCGAAATTCACTCGAACACCAGCAGTCTCTCCAGCGCGACCTCGATGTCATCAAACAGTTCGGCGATAAATGGGGAATTCATTTTAGCCCACAGAAGACACAGCAGCAGACATTCACCACAAGACAAGACACACAGACACTACAGCTGACTTTTGGAGGTGAACGGATCCCAACTTCATCTAGCCACACACATCTAGGACTGACGTTCTCGACTGACTTACGCTTCCACGAACATGTGAACAAAGTTGTAACTAAAGTAAATAGAGCACTTAGCCCTATCTATCCTGTCGCTAAATACTTGCCAAGACAAGTATTGAATGACATTTATTTTACTTACATTCGACCACTTTTCGACTACTGCGACATAGTGTACGACGGACACCTGACGACTTCAGACATCTTCAGACTCCAAAAACTACAGAACAGAGCGGCGAGACTAGTGACTGGTGCCCTTTACAGATCTCCAACTGACAAGTTGCATAAGGACCTGGGGTGGGAAACACTGACGACAAGACGACTGACTCACAGACTGACATTTTTCCATCAACTCCGCCATCCACCGCCATCAACTCCTGCCTATGTAACAGACCTAATCACGCCGACGCGCCAGGACTCGACTCAACGCAACCTCCGCACCTCATCACTGCTCACGCTCCCGAAAAACCGCCTATCCTGTTTCCAGCGATCCTTCATCCCTGAAACTACCAGATCCTGGAATTCCCTCCCCGAACATATCCGTCAGATCCGATCACGCTCTAAGTTTTCCAATGAAGTAAGACAGCACTTCTGTCCCCAGCCCAACCCTTTCTTCTCCTCAGGATCCAAGCTAGGCAACACTCTCCACACTAGACTTCGTTTGCACATGTCCACCCTAAAAGCACACCTCTTCACAGTTTTATCTAAGGACACCCAAGATGCGGCCTGTCAGTGCGGTCATCCTTGGGAGGACTCACGTCACTTTATGCTGCACTGCCCTCTTTACGCTGACGAACGGACGCTTCTTTTTAACTCTGTCTCCACTGTATTCCACGACTTTGACGCTTTTTCTTTTAGAAGACAACTCGAAATTCTCCTAGAGGGTCAAGGTATTGGCGGCGGCGGCGGCGGGGAGCTGGTCAGGGCCATTCAAAATTATATCATTGGCACTGGTAGGTTCATATAAAAAGCACGCTTTTGGAAGTAATTTCTCTAAGCATAAAAAAAGGCGGACTGGCGACGGGCGGCTCTGCTTCTGGTCTGCTGGCTGGGCGGTCGGGGGCGGTGGTCGTGCCTCCTACCTTGTAGGGAACTGGGAGAGGTGCTTAGAGATAAGCGCTTGTCGCTTCTGCACCAATCCGTGTAAATGTATGACTGTGAAAATGCTTCTATAAATAAAATATGAATCAATCAATCAATCAATCAAACCAATGTCAGCCTCAGTCCCACAGTGCACCGCCATTCCAAAGGGCACAGTCACCTGCCGTTCCTATCAGGCAATACTCAGCCATCGGTACACATCCTGAGCTAGATTTGCCACGCTACCGGCGCTGCTAGCCCCGGGCCTATCAGCGCGACCCATGAGCTAGCTGATTGGCCCCACTGAGTAGCGAGACTAGACAGACGCCACACCGCTCCGGTTGGACTCAAGTGGACACTGCAGAGTGCAGTGCCCGCGGGGTGGTTGGTGTGTGGGGCGGCGCCGGTTGACAGGCAGAGAGAGAGAGGGCAGTAGAACGCGTGTGGTGGCAGTGACAGCAGCCGTGTGACAGCGTGACAGTGACAGTGACGGGTGTGGTGTGACAGCTCAGTGCCAGCGAACGACGTGGCCGTGGGAGCTATCGGTGTAGCGAGGCAGAACTTCGGGCTGAGCCTGAAACTGAGAAGTCGGCGATACTGCAGACGTTGCTCTATCTGAAGCGGAAACTAAGGATTGACTATCTGTTGAAGACACTGATGGTTGACATCAGGCGCTGAGAAACATAGTGGCGTGACAAGACGCCAGCCACTTGTCCACGTTCTTTTCTTGGACTCAGACCCATCCTATCGCCTTTCCTCCTTTCGAGTGAACTCCCTCCTTGAGTTATTTCCTGTCCTTTCGGATCCTTACTCTTGTGCCCTGTCTAAAGTATCACTATATCCTCTACTGCTGTGTGTAAACGACGCGCACAACCCCACTCATCCTCTAACCCACCCTTTGCGCCCCTCCCCTCTGCCTGAGTTGTGGCGTGGACAGGGTCGGCCACCCTCGCTGCACGCCGCTGATAGCGCGCTGACCGCGCTGACCTCACCCCACCCGTCGGCGACAACATGTCCGAGCCGTGCAGACGCTGCGCCCGGCTCAGCAGCCTGCCTGCCAATGTCCGGGAGGAGTACCACCGGCGACACATCGCGCTGGCCGCTCTGGACATGTCGACCAGGGCATCGACTCCGGTGCCGAGGCCGAGAAGTAGCCAGGTGCGTAAGTTTTTTTGTGAGAGGAGAAGCTCGCTGAATTTACTCCCCGCCTTGCGAAGGAGGCTGTTCGCGCCACGACACAATAGGGAGGGGCTGTTTTGGGTGGCGTGGGGGACAGGCTAAGATATTGACTGTTGCCCGTTGTTGCGAGCGGGGTTCGTGACATGACATTGCTAATGTGACGTTTAATTCATGTCACGGCTGGTGGGGGTAGCTGCCACAAAGAAAAACACGCTGTTTTATTGAGTCAAGTTAACTGAGCACAATCGTACTACATTAAGTTTAAAACTTGCAAGTGAACCCACATGTGATTCCCGATCCGACTATTTGTTGCGGCAGTGAACAGAAGTAGGTATGTAGGTATTAATCAGCCTTCTATCAGTCAGCTGCAAATACGAGCTTTACTGAAAACTGACCAGAATCGAAACTCTTTTTTGCAGAACTTTCCGAATCCATCCTTAGTGAAAAAACTTGGACATGCTTTATTGCAAACGTTTATCTATGGTTAATCATACTAATAACGTGAACCACTCTCAATATGATTGATTGTGTATTGTGCATGGCTATGTACGTTGGCGTCGCTTCAACAGGCTTGAGTGCATTGAACTTTAATCCCAGAAGAATTAACCGTTGCACTTCAGTTTGAAATCATGAGAGTGCTTATTGCGCGATAGCTCCCTATCGCTTCTATCATCTATGCAAAATTTTCCGGGATCTCAGGCAGCCAGGCTTTTGCTTCGAATAGACGCAGATCGGAGGAGTGTGCGACAGCCACGCCTTGTATGGCAACACAATCCACAATTCAACACAAATTTACACAAACAACACAAAAAACACAATTCTAACGAGCAGTGTTTTAACCTATTTGGGCATTGAACACAAACCTTCGGTTACATAAACTATTTACATGGGATTCTCCTGTCAGTTTTCATTTTTCCCGGAGCTGAAGTCAGTAACAAATCATTTCTTTCAGTCGCTGGATGCCCTTTTATTGCCTACCGCTATTTCCGAGCGAATTCGGTGACAGGGTGCAGCACTAGCATGGTTCTGTATTTTACCGATAGATGGCACTAGTAGTGAGCGCCTGAAGGTAAGCTGTACCGCAAGACAGCTGAACAAACTGCAGGTCAATATTGGGGGATGGTACATCGTGCGAGATTATCTCTTGCCAACTTGATGTCGACAGTTCAACCTTTAAACACATAAACTTCAATTTATCGTTGACGGCACAAAGGAGCTATAGAAACCTTTTCCAAAATCTAAAGCAAACAAAGAGCTAACAAATTGATAAAATATCGAACCTACCACAATGCGATTTCTCAAGCATGCTCAAGCCATTCAACCCCGCCTACTCTTCCTCTGATGCACCATCCCCTTTCCTGTACCGGAACTTCCTCTGTCCCGTATCAGACCCTCCCCTCTCCTATCAGATCTCGGCACTGGTGAGTGCACCTTCCTGTCACACGCCATACAAGGCGCGGCTGTCGCCGACTCCTCCGCTCTGCGTCCCCCTGCACACACAGTGCAGACTAACACCAGACGGTGCACAGTGAGTGCGTGCACGGTGCATATCAGATCAGAAGGCCGAAACTCGGACGAGACGTGGCCGGGACGCGGCCGGACGCTGTCGGTCCCTGCGTAGTTCCATTGTTTAGAACGGAGGCGCAGGGTGCGGTGTGGTCCTTGTGTGCGTGTGTGTGTGTGTGTGGAGATTGGAGACTCCAGGGAGCTGTGGTGGCTTGTCAAAACGGTGGGTACGCGTGGGACAAACCCGTGGCTTTAGACGTTGTGAGAGAGTAATGGGTTTGGAAAGGCCATTGGAAATGGTACGTATGACTTTCAATTTTATGTTATAGTCCTATACCACTTGCTGCATTCATATACTCCTGTGCTGTAGCACACACAAGTTTGCTAGAATACAGCGCACTGGCGGCTGATGTCGCTTAGACTTCATGCTCAACTGGCCATTACTACAGCTTCCGTGTAAACAGCAATCAATTTAGAGGTCTCGTCATGGTCACCCCACCGCAGTTTCAGTGATACACACGACATCTGGCCCTGAATTTTGACCTGTCTCAGACACGACCCCTCCCCTTGACCTTCCTGAGACAATTTTTATTGATCCGTAACTTCCCAAAGACATCTTATCTCAACTTTAAAATACGAGTATGTTGTCCCACCTTGTGAATTTTCTAAGCTATTAACATCTGACTTTCACCAGTGACCTCTCAATCATCTCACCCCGCCCCGTGACCTTAATTATTCTCTGACCTTGACCTCTGACCCCCCGCGGACATCTGACCTCGGCACGAACCCGCCGAGTCCGTCCGGCCTCCGTAGACGTGTTCTGCTCGCCCTGTTGGATTGCTAGCGTAAACAGCCGCCTCCATCCGCGAATAGTCGGGACGCCAGACGCACCAGTGGCCCCACAGCGTGTCGGTGTGCCGGGTGATGATGTTGTGTCCCAACGGGATGTCAAACATGCGGCACGAGACGGAAGGAGGGCGGCACAGGGCGTATGTTAGTGGTGGCAGGCTATAGCTTGAGGAGTGGATTAATTATTACAGCAAGCTACAATCTCGATTTATGTATCTCAGGTAGTTTTGTGCCAGTGCGCTATGTGATGCCTCAACAAAAGCCACAGTTTTACTGCACCCTCAAATAAACACAACTGCTTTGACGAGTGGACCTACAGCAGTGATGCCAGATCCTTGCGGCTCTCGACCGTTTTATGTATGCCGAGTTTACGAGGTGCTTCATCTCGGCGACAACTTTCAACTGAGGAGAAGTACCCACAATACTCATCAGACGCACTGCTTCAGTGCATTCTGCAAAACATGGCTACTGGCCAAGCTCTAGCGGAGTGTGCTGAATTGTCGTTCCATATCCCGAAACCATATACAGTGGGGATATCTTATAGCAACAAAGGTAAAATGCACCACGTCAGGACGTAGGGATTGCAACTTCACTCGGTCATCAATTGGGCACTGAGCTGTTTAGCAATGTGGTGTTGTTTGGTCGCGTGAATTGCGAAGAGATAGTAGGTACTGCTAGCATTGAGTGTTTCTGACTTCTGTGCAGTGATGTGATTATAAGGCAGGGGCGTTTTAAAATGGCCTCATAGCCAACCATCACATTCTGAGGAAGCTATTGTCCGCGAGAGAATGCATTTTAATAGCACCAGTGGTGATTGCGGTGACATTTATTGTGATGGAGTGACCAAGATGACATTTCAGTCCATTGAAAGCATTCGGCCCCGGCAAAAACCATAGGTTTTTTGTGATATTGTTGATGATGATAAGTCATATAAACGAGGTGCTCGTCTTTTTATTTTCCGTAGAATCGAAGTGGATTTTTAATAAAATCAAGCATTTCTTGTTTCTGTTGTCATCAGTTGGTAGTCTTGTTCTAGATACGTGCAGAATACGTGTTCTAGATACGAAATATGATAAGGATCTTTCTTGTTCAAGTAGATATGGAGTGGTTTTACACATCCTAATTTATTGCTTTATTCGAAGCTGGACGGCCATACTTCAATTAGTGTTGGGGTCTGCCTATTTATCCCAGAGCATATCAAGCAACCGCTGCAATGACGCTGTAAATGTACGATAAAATAACACCATAATTAGTCATCATTATTAACCAGTATAGCGCCTTTTGGGGCGACTAACGGAGCGAGCGAGGGGGTGAGTCTTGCACGTGCGAAATTTCGAGGGGGTACCTCCAACTGACTTGTGCACGGCACCCTACTGACCGGTTTCTAGCGATGTGCCAAATTTGAGCACAATCGGCCCAGCCGTTCTCGAGATCTGGGAGCGGCACCCTGCACGTGCGCACGTGCAAAATGGGTCCCAACTGACTTGTACACGGCACCCTACTAACTGGTCCCTAACTGTGTACCAAATTTGAGCGCCATCGGTCCAGCCGTTCTCGAGATCTGGAAACGACCCCTGCACGTGCGCACGTGCAGCAGCACCCCAACTCTGGCACATGGATATGCAGTGCCTAGTGGGTGCCTACCTACATACCAACTTTCAGCGCAATCGGCCAAGTAGTTACCGAGATATTGCAACAATTACAAAACTGACACCTCTTCGTTTTGCACGTGGCACGTGCATAAGGGGTCACCCACATGCATCGGGAATAGTCCAATACTTGGTAGAAGGAATGAAGCTACCCTACAAAAATTACCGCATGTAAATCGGTCAAGTGGTTCCTGAGATATAAGCCTCGCAAAAGCGTCCGCACGGCCGGCCGGCCGGCCGGCCGGCCGGCCGGCCGGCCGCTCATACTCAGAAATTTCCGTTATTCTACGTAAGACTCCGCTCGCTTCGCTCGCTCCGTAATGAGAGTTGTGCAAACCTTAGACGAAGGCGACTGCCAGTTTCAATTGACCGTTCAACTTTTTTGCTGATGCCTCCAAGTTTGTTTTGCTATTCGATATTTACGACCGAACCGATTCCGGACATACGCCGCCGTCTCCCCCCCCCCCCCGCTCCCTCCGGCAGCTGTCTGATGGGCAGACGGGCCCGTTAAACACCCCTCCCCCTTCCTCTAGGACCAGCAGCTGGCTCAACACACCCGTCAGCAAAGCTGCACACTCGGTTTATCAACTGCACCACCAGATGGTGGGACGAGCTCTCTGCAGAGGTCTGCCACCTAGCGGTGCACTGGTGATATCCCGTGCACGGCGCTGCACCGGGTCGACCCACCGCACCAGTGCTCGAGCCCACGTGGTGACGGGAGCGACCCCACCCAGCCATACACTGCGACTAATGTGTACCTGACTGGCCGCGGGCCGGAGACCGGCTGTGATCTTTACGTCGTGATGTCACGGGCCTACGTCGAACGGTGACTCGTACGACCGGCGACTGTTTTCAAGATAAACACGCTATCCGGCCTGGTGTTGGTCGCCGATGAGCGGTACGCGGTAGTGTGTCGACAGGACGAAGCTGTGGTGCGTATCGACTGGGCGACTGAAGCCGGTCCTCTCTCGTTTACAGCTGCAGAGTAAGCGGGAAATGTTCTACAAAGGCGAATCAGCGACGGCAGGGAGGGACTCCGGAGCGGCGAATTTAGCGGCTGCCGCCCCCGCCGCCGGGCCCGGAGCCCCAGTCACAGCCCGAGACGGCCGGGAGGCCAGGGATAACCGACCTCAGGTGAGCATCACTCAGATGTAATACTTCCTGTGTTCATGTGTTTGTATTGACAGATCTGTACCATATGTTCTTGTTCTTGACTTACCGTTATCGACACAAAAAACGAGATATGTAACGCACCGTCGTAAATTATCCGAGTCTCGGTTATCTTTCCGATACCAAGTACCGACACACTTCTCTGTGTGGTCGACATATAGGCAATAGGCATTGGGAAGCCTTCAGGGGATCATTTAGAAGTCCCGAACAGCCCTAGGTAGGTAGATTCAGTATCCCACGTCGATGCCTCAGTCCAAAGTCAGATGCTGAGTGTGCGCTGAGTCACCTCCTGGCCTGACCACCGTCCACCGTCCACCAGACCCCATAAGGATCAACTGCCCACCGCGCGTGGCCATATTTGTGCGGTCTGAGCGCCTGTGATATGCAGAGTGGCTGCTTCGCGGAAATGGTGATCTTTTGATGGAGTTCAGAGCGGCTAGCTATTCCCGAGAGGAATGTGTGTTTATTCTAGTGGCAGTACTCTGGCAAAATATATGATGCTCAAACCACCCGATAAAATATGATTAACCGTAGGATGTGGGGCGAATGATATATCCACGGTGTTTTATACCTATTCTCAAATGATCATCCATTCTTCGAGTGTAATTGGAGACTCTATGTTAGGACATGTCTCGCTGAAAAAAAAAAATAGCCGAGTGTTGACATTCAAATTCAACTGGGGACAGTATCAAATTCAAAATGTTTCTGGGCTTCACTTCTCACATTATGAGGGCATCAAAACGGCTAGCAGTCGATGTATCAAGTATTCTCAGCGATATATCATTGTTTGTATTGCTTCGTAAGTCATTCATCACATATGTTTCGATAAACAAACCAAATGATGCTAATTTGTGCACATCGTCTCGTCCCCATATCAAATATACATTGCCCTATCATTTTCATTGAAGTATCATAATTCAGTCGCAAAGCTCCCATGAATGAAACGTACGATTTGATTCATATTTTAGGTACTGTCAGGTCTCTTCGATAATTTAACTTGGATGTGCATCTACCTGCAAAAATTCATTTATTTACCAACCAGTATAGCGCCTTTTGGGGCGACTAACGGAGCGAGCGAGGGGGTGAGTCTTGCACGTGCGAAATTTCGAGGGGGTACCTCCAACTGACTTGTGCACGGCACCCTACTGACCGGTTTCTAGCGATGTGCCAAATTTGAGCACAATCGGCCCAGCCGTTCTCGAGATCTGGGAGCGGCACCCTGCACGTGCGCACGTGCAAAATGGGTCCCAACTGACTTGTACACGGCACCCTACTAACTGGTCCCTAACTGTGTACCAAATTTGAGCGCCATCGGTCCAGCCGTTCTCGAGATCTGGAAACGACCCCTGCACGTGCGCACGTGCAGCAGCACCCCAACTCTGGCACATGGATATGCAGTGCCTAGTGGGTGCCTACCTACATACCAACTTTCAGCGCAATCGGCCAAGTAGTTACCGAGATATTGCAACAATTACAAAACTGACACCTCTTCGTTTTGCACGTGGCACGTGCATAAGGGGTCACCCACATGCATCGGGAATAGTCCAATACTTGGTAGAAGGAATGAAGCTACCCTACAAAAATTACCGCATGTAAATCGGTCAAGTGGTTCCTGAGATATAAGCCTCGCAAAAGCGTCCGCACGGCCGGCCGGCCGGCCGGCCGGCCGGCCGGCCGGCCGCTCATACTCAGAAATTTCCGTTATTCTACGTAAGACTCCGCTCGCTTCGCTCGCTCCGTAATAACTGCATTGAGGTATGCGGTAAGCCCGCAACAAATCTACTATACTATTTGTTAAATGAAACTCTGTCTGTCTGTGTGTCTGTTTGCACCGTGCAGAGGGGTGCTTTGACGCCGTGCGCAGGTCAAACGGTGCGGTCGATGGGGCTGAAATTTTCGCACAGTGTTGATGACGTCACGGGCACGTGCAGTGTCGAGGTTCGAGTCCCGGGGGGTGGATGGTTCGCACGTGGCACACGCTGGAAAAAAAGGTGCTTTTTTCCAAATTTTGCTCGGCTCTGAAGCTTGCTTCAAGGCATCGGCAGCCGGGTTCAATCACCTTTGACAATAAAATGCATGACGATCGGCGGCGGGTGCCTCTCATTTGCAGATTGACAGCTTATTTATTTTGCTAAACAGAGGCGAATGAAGATGTTGATTTCCTGTAAATAAAGACAGTTTTCAATACGCCAAATGCACCGCGTTTGACGCAATGCGCCACATTTGTCACGAGGTGCCATTTTTGCCGCAAATCGCACAACTTTGTCAAATATGGTCCGATAAACGTGCAATTCGGTGGAAGGATGCATGACAAAACGACAAGTACAAATGCACCACTTTTGTCGCAATGCGCCACATTTGTCACAAGGCGCCATTTTCGACCGAATACGATTAAGAATAATGGAATTACACGAGTAGGAGCAGGGTTGGGAACTCTTTTTAGTTTATCAGTTAATCTGATTGTCTGTGACCTCACATGACCCAGTGGTAGTGGTAGGTGTAGTGGTAGTGGTAGTGGTAGTGGTAGTAGTAGTGGTAGGAGTAGCGGTAGTGGTAGGGGTAGTAGTAGGGGTAGTAGTAGGGTAGTGATAGGGGGTAGGGGTAGTGGTAGGGGTAGGGATAGTAGTAGTGGTAGGGGTAGAAGTGGGGGTAGTGGTAGGGGTAGTGGTAGGGGTAGGGGTAGTGGTAGGAGTAGTAGTAGGGGTAGTGGTAGGGGTAGGGGTAGTGGTAGGGGTAGTGGTGGGGGTAGTGGTAGGAGTAGTGGTATAGGTAGAAGTAGTAGAAGTGTGGCACAGGCCGATCCAATGTGACGTGGTGACCTATACGACCTGGCCTCACCGAAGGTGATCTGGCCTGACCCAGTGTGACCAGGGGTGACCAACTTGACCTGACTTGACCCCGTATGACCCAAATTCATCCAACTAAGCCATCAGAAAAGTTATTATGTTCAAAATTTTCATCTACACGTTTCTGTTCATACTCTGCTTCCAGACGACAGATCAATTAAAAGCAAACACCATTCGAAAGCAAATTGGCTGCTGCCGCATTTTCTGGCTACGCCGCGAAGCAAGTGGCGCAGCCGCTTGTCTACTATACTATTTGTGAAATGAAACTCTGTCTGTCTGTGTTTCTGTTTGCACCGTGCAGAGGGGTGCTTTGGCGTCGTGCGCAGGCCAAACGGTGCGGTCGAGGGGGCTGAAATTTTCGCAGCGTGTTGATGACGTCACGCGCACGTGCAGTGTCGAGGTTCGAGTCCCGGGGGGTGGATGGTTCGCACGTGGCACGCCCTGGAAAAAGGTGCATTTTCTCCAAATTTTGCTCGGCTCTCAAGCTTGATTCAAGGCATCGGCAGCCGGGTTCATTCGCCTTTGACAATAAAATGCATGACGATCGGCGGCGGGTGCCTCTCATTTGCAGATTCGCCAAGTTATTTATTTTGATAAACAGAGGCGAATGAAGGTGTTGATTTTCGGTAAATAAAGACAGTTTTCAATGCACTTAACCGAATGCACCGCGTTTGCCGCAGTGCGCCACATTTGTCCACATGCGCTATTTTTGCCGCAAATCGCACAACATTGTCAAATATGGTCCGATAAACGTGCAATTCGGTGGAAGGATGCATGGCAAAACGATAGGAATAAATGCACCACTTTTGTCGCAATGCGCCACATTTGTCACAAGGCGCCATTTCAACCAAATACGATTAAGAATAATGGAATGACTCGAGTAGGAGAAGGGTTAGGAACTCTTTTTTAGTTAATAAGTTAATCTGATAGTCTGTGACCTCACATGACCCAGTGGTAGTGGTAGGTGTAGGTGTAGTGGTAGTGGTAGTGGTAGGGGTAGTGGTGGGGGCATTAGTAGTGGTAGGGGTATTAGTAGTGGTAGGGGTAGTAGTAAGGGTAGTAGTAGTGGTAGGGGTAGTAGTAGTGGTAGGGGTAGGGGTAGTAGTAGGGGTAGTGGTAGGGGTAGTGTTAGGGGTAGTGGTAGGAGTAGTGGTAGGGATAGTGGTAGGGGTAGTGGTAAGGGTAGTGGTAGGGGTAGCGGCAGGGGTATTAGTAGTGGTAGGGGTAGTAGTAGGGGTGGTAGTAGGGGTAGTGGTAGTGGTAGGGGTAGGGGTAGTGGTAGTGGTAGTGGTAGTGGTAGTGGAAGTGGTAGGAGTAGTTGTATGGGTAGAAGTAGTAGAAGTATGGCCCAGGCCGATCCAATGTGACGTGGTAACCTATACGACCTGGCCTGACCGAAGGTGACCTGGCCTGACCCAGTGTGACCAAGGATGACCAACTTGACCTGACTTGACCCCGTATGACCCAAATTTCATCCAACTAAGCCCTCAGAATAGTTATTATGTTCAAAATTTTCCTCCGCACGTTCCCGTCCATATTTCTGCTTCCAGACGACAGATCAATTTAAATCAAATACCATTCGAAAGCAAATTGGCTGCTGCCGCATTTTCTGGCTACGCCGCGAAGCAAGTGGCGCAGCCGCTTGTCTACTATACTATTTGTAGAATGAAACTCTGTCTGTCTGTCTGTCTGTTTGCACCGTGCAGAGGGGTGCTTTGACGCCGTGCACAGGTCAAACGGTGCGTTGGATGGGGCTGAAATTTTCGCAGGGTGTTGATGACGTCACGCGCACGTGCAGTGTCGAGGCTCGAGTCCCGGGGGGTGGATGGTTCGCACGTGGCACGCGCTGGAAAAAGGTGCATTTTCTCCAAATTTTGCTCGGTCTTCAAGGCATCGGCAGCCGGGTTTGATGAACTTTACAACTAAAATGCATGACGATCGGCGGCGGGTGCCTCTCATTTGCAGATTGGCAGCTTATTTATTTTGATAAACAGAGGCGAATGAAGGTGTTGATCTTCGGTAAATAAAGACAGTTTTCAATGCGCTTACACAAATGCACCGCGTTTGCCGTAGTGCGCCACATTTGTCACGAGGTGCCATTTTTGCCGCAAATCGCAC